GACTGAACATTGACTTTCAACCTTTGCCTAGTGAGGACAGTGCTACTGTAGAAACGTTACTCAACTGATGTTTCTGTAGAATGTTTCTTCTTTGCTCCTGAGTATACACTACATATATATATATATATATATATATATATATATATATATATATATATATTTAATTTTTTGATTTGTTTTTATTGATGTGCGTTGTTGTACTCCCTTGTCTATCTGTGAACCCACATGCATGTAGGTGTCCTCAGGGACCAGAGGAGGGCATTGGGACCTCTGGAACTGGAGTTACAGGCAGGTATGAGCCAGCGTGTGGGTGCTGGGAATTGAACCCGAGATCCTGGAAAGAACAGCAAGTGCTCTTAACTGCCAAACCATAATTCTACCCTCTGATTTATATATATAAAATCAATGATATTGAACATTTTATAGGCTTGCAGATAACATATCTTCTTTGTAGAAAACGTTATTTTAAGTCTTTTTTTTTAAGCCCAGCTGTTCTCTAGTCTGGGTATTTAACCTTTATTAGAGATTTCCAAATGTTGGCTTTTTCTCATTTTTGATAGTGTTCTTCCATGCACTAAAGTTTTACATTTTTGCCTTGTCTAGTGTAAGTAGTTTTTTTTGTGTGTGTGGCTCTACTTTTAACATCAAGTATTGAATCCACTGCTAAATACAACGTGGTAAAGAACAATGCTTTTTTTATGGTTAGCCAGTTGTCAAAGCATCGTTTTGAGAAGGTATTATTTCCTTGCTGAATGTTCTTAGTTTCCTCTTTGGAAATCACCTAGCCTAGTATATTAGAGTTTATTTCTGGGTTTTCAGTTCTTTTCCATTGACTTATTAGATTTATTAGCCTTGCTTTAAGTTTTAAAGATCAAGAAGTATCAATTCTTCATTCTTATTTTGATCATTCTTGGACTCTTGAAATTCCCTATGAATTTGAAAAAAAAATGGCTTTTTCCAATGGGATGTCATTGAATATACACACTGTTTAAAGATTTCCATCTGAATTATAGTAAGCATGCTAAGCCATGAGTGTGCAGTCTTTTCATTTGCTTAAGTCTTCTTTATTTTTGTAGAAATTTGGTGTTTCTGCTGTCTTTAATTTCCTTGGTTAAATTTATTGGTAGGCATTTTATTCTTTTTTTTTTGTTTGTTTGGTTTTTTGGTTTTTCGAGGCAAGGTTTCTCTATGTAGCTTTGTGCCTTTCCTGAAACTCACTTGGTAGCCCAGGCTGGCCTCGAACTCACAGAGATTCACCTGGCTCTGCCTCCCGAGTGCTGGGATTAAAGGCATGCGCCACCACCACCTGGCGGCATTTTATTCTTATGGTGCTATTCTAAATCAAATTGATTTCTTAATTATCTGTATTGTTCATTAGCGGTATAGAAACAACTGATTTTGTGTATTGACCCTACACTGTGCTGAGTTTATTAGCGTTAGGGGTGTGTGTGTGTGTGTGTGTGTGTGTGTGTGTGTGTGTGTGTGTGCGCGTGCGCATATGGATGGGTTATTCTATATATAGTCATGTTAAATGTAAGACATCATTTCCCTTCCCATTTGGATGCCTTTCATTTCTTTCTCTTGCCAGGTTGCTCGCGCTGGACCTCTCTCTGTTAGGTTGACCATCACTGGTGAAGCACATTCTTGTTTTGTGCTTTTTATTTGCTCTTTCCTTTTCTTCAAAAATGATCATCAAAAAGAACTCAAACCTGTTAGCAGTTATAGAGGTTAAAACTGCGAAGTGACCTGCGCTTAGTGCTCCTTGTGCTTCCTCCTGAGAGGCCCTGCCTGTTATTTTGGTTGTCTATGGTGCTCTCAACTCTCCACTGATCCTTTAGGATCAGTACTGTTTGCAGCAGAGCAAACCCTGGAGGAGCCCCTCACCATGGCGAGGAAAAGAAGAATGCGATCAGGAAGTGACGAGCTATTTAAGTATGGCTGTCCACTTTGTACTCAGCAACATGGGACCAAGAACAAAAACAAAGATTCGGAAAGTCCAAGACAAAACCACAGAAGGCATTTGGTGAGCTGTATCGTTAATATATAAGCCCATGTCCTGTGGAGCAGAAGCTTGCTCTTCTGAGAAGGGAAGAGAGGAAACTGTGTTTTGAAACAGTGTAGTGGTTAAGATTAGACGCCACACTAAGACTGCCCATATTCCAAACCTGGGTCTGCTGCTCACTAATAACACGATCAGAGAGAACTTGACTTCTGTAAACCTTGGCACCGTGCTCACAGAACAGGGAGAAAGATGGCATCTGTTTCCTTCGCTGAGAGCAGTAACATTTAAAGAACAACCCAATTAAAGCCATTAATGTAAGTGAGTCAAGCATTTGCTTTTAAAGGCGTTTTGACCAAGTCAGAGAACATTTTGTGAAGCAAGTTGTCTTTATGTTTACTTGGTAATATAAAGAAAGAGGTGTGGTCTTATAATGCATTCAGTTAGTGTCATTGAATTTCTTTTTCAGATAGTATTTTCTTATGTTTAAAAAAATTTTTTTGCATGCATATATGTTTATGCACCACTTACATGCCTGGTTCCCTAGGAAATCAGAATAGGGTATCAGAGATGACCTGGAGCTGAGGTGTAGATGGTTAGGAGCCATCTTAACCTTAGGATGTTAGAACTCAAACCCAGGTCCTCTAAAAAAAGCAGCAAGTGCTTTTAATCTGCCAAGCCATCTCTCCAGACTTTTTTTTTTCTTTTCCTTTTGTGTTGTTTGTTTTGAGATAGAGTACAGCTGAGGATGGCCTTGAACTTCTGATTCCCCTGCCCTTGCCTCCTGAGGGCTGGGAGGACTGATGTGGGCCACCCCCTCCCATGGTTTATTCAAATCGTGTTTTCTCCTCGGGTTTTGATTGTAGTAAGGAAATGCTTATTTAAAGGAGTTGTTGCTTCTCATCTGCTTTGATTCTGCTGTGTCGCTTGTATAGACAATGGATTGTTAATACTTTACCTGTCAGAAAAAACAAAATGAAACAGATTCCTGATGATTTTCTTTATTTGGCTGTCTGATGTACCGGTCCAGAAAGGAGGTGAGACATCCCTGTTGAGTCTAGTTTTATTGCCAGTGCATTCAGTGAAGAAGGGCCAATTAAATCTCATGCTATTTAGACAACTGATTTATTTTTTTAACAATTGAATTTCTTCATGCATTTTAAATGATGTGGTATCTACAAACATGTTCTGACAGGTATATGCGAGGACTCTTTAAGAGGAACAGAATTGAGATTACCCCAAAAGTTGTTTGACTCAGCCTGTAACGCTCGTGTTGAGTGGATGCCAGTTACTATTCTGTTTGGGTCTTCAGAAACAGGACCTTCGAGGTTGAACTTCAATGAATAGTGTTTCTGTTCTGTCACTAAATGGTATCTCGGAACTGCCTTCAAGATATGGTGTGTCTCAAACTTCCCCCACAGTCCTTTTCCAGTTCCCTTTGTTTCCCTATAACAGGCTTCATGTTTATGAATAATAACTTTATTAAGAGGACAGCTTTGTTAGAACACATGTTCTGAGAAGACATGTCTATCTTATGCATTACTAATAGCCCAAGAATCTTAATAATGGCTAGCGCCTAGCCTGCATGTAATGCTTTTATAAAATGGAAATTCCTGAAATTAATTTTTTTGGTTACTATGAGTCCACACTTATATTTTAAAATAGAAGATTAAACCACAAAGCTGTCTCCTCACAATTAGAAAATGTCTTTTTTTTTCCCTTTCTTTTCTTTTCTTTTTTTTTTTTTTTTAAGTAAGGTCCTGTGTAGCTGGACTCAAATTGTCTACATAGCTGAGAATGCCCTTAAACTTAAACTTGGGATCCTTCTCGCTTCCTGTTCCCAGTGCTGGGATCGAAGGCATATGCCACTATATCCTGTTGTGGGATATTCATTAAGATCCGTTTATGCTGTGGAACATTCGTTTAATGGTGCAAAGACGTGTTACATTTGTTTGATTAGATAAAATTAAGCTGGGGGCAAGAGGCTGAGTCAGCAATTAGCTGACAGGAAGTGGTAGGGGGGAACCATGTGTAGCTAGGTTCTTAAGTGGGGACTGAGCAGGAGGAGCAAGGAGAGAAGGTTAGCTACTTGCTCTTCAGCCTCTCTGAGTGAGAAGAATGTCGCCTCAGCCTTTGAATCCTGAGTTCTCCAGAGGGATAGAGATCTAGATAAAGTTCCCTGTAGCGGCTGTGACAGAGCCGGCGCCCGAGGGAACAGAATTCCTGCCTGGCTACAGCCAGTGCTGCGGAACCATAGCTGAGGAATTGCAACTGTCGATTAGCAAATTTAATTTGTGTAGTACTGGGGCTTGACCCCGGGCCTCTGCATACTGCCAGGCATCTACCAAACCGAGTCACACGCCAGCTCTCTCTGTGTCTTTTAAAGTGCACTTTAAAAATTTTATTTATTTATTATTATTATTATTATTTTGGTTTTTCAAGACAGGGTTTCTCTGTGTAGCTTTGGAGCCTTTCCTGGAACTCCCTCTGTTCCTGGGTTTCCAGGAACCCGCCTGCCTCTGCCTCCCGAGTGCTGGGATTAAAGCACTTTTTTAATTCTTAAAAATAATGATACTTCAGGCAAATATATCATGATCTTAAGGATACAACTGTATGTTTGAATGGCGTTCAAATCCTGCTTGTTAAATTCGAGTTAGAAAAATGGAGCTAACAATATTATTTTTAAGGTGTTGTTTTGTTTTTTTCAAAACAGCAAAATTAAAATGTACTTAAAGATGAGGCATATGTAATAATACCTAAGGATGGGTTCTTCTTTTCCTTTTTAGTAAAAAATGTGTAGCTTCCCTTCCAATAAGTTCATTTATTATCTGGTTCTCTCTGTTCAATTTGCCTGGTCAAAACTCACAATTAACAACCCAAGTTTTCTATCTTCGAATCAGGATTGTGGCTATCCATTGGGAGACAGGACTCTTGTTGGATGTAGTGAACTCCTCCTAAATAACAGTCTTCTAGCCAAACATAACGTCCACAGAGACAAGCCGAATGGAAATAACTTTTATTGCCGCTGTGCTTTCATATGCTGGGTGGAAATCAGAACTGTAACTATATAACGCAGTTTGTGGGAAGTTAGGGACCGTGTTCTCCAGAAGGCATGCAGATCCTCAGTGGTTGTTGCAGGGGATCACAAAGGAGATCTTCGGTCCAAAGAAGACATCTCTGAAAGAAAGAGCACCAGTTAAACTCAGCCGGAAACTGAGGGGTATGTTAGTCTTTTCTGGACTGAAAGTGGACGGGGCTTCCCAGGGTTTCAGATAAGACTACTCATTGTAGGTGAACCAAATACAAAAGGATGAGCAGGAGGACTTCCCACAGGAGCCCCAAAGACCAAAAAGGTAACTGCATTTTCTTTCACCCATTTACCATGGATGTGATGCTATTATTTGTCTATAAATAAAAGGAAACAATAGATAATTTCAAAACCTTATCCAAAAGAGTTCACTCTGATGTGGAAATGGGTTATGAAGTTTAAATTTGGGGGTAAGAAGAGATGGATCAGTAAACATTACTTAGAGAACCATTAAACAAATTTTAAAATATTTATATTTATCTAAACTTTTTAATTTTATTAAATTTATTCTCATATTTAATTCATTATTTTTGTCATATTTAATTCAAATATCTTAGCTTCCTAAATTTTATGCAATAAAAGTGTTCTAAAAGCTATTCTTATCTTTTGGGGTAGAAAAGCTAGTATAAGGTAACATGAAAAAAATGCATAGAATAGTATAAAATTGTATGTACAGGGTGTTATGATTCTGACTTACTAGAAACACACTTTGCAAAGTGATTTTGTTGCTACTGGAAAAAAAAATCTCAAAAGTTAAGGAGAAATGGTTTCTGTATATTTATACCTCTGTTTAAATGTAACAGTAATAATCACAAAGTTATATCAGAAAATACAAGCCCACTGCAATAAATTGGTTTACTAATCCAATAATGAAAAAAAAAAGCATTTTAATATTGATTGGCACTTAAATTCTACAGCATAGAAATGTGTTTCATGGGGTTAATTAACACGTTCTTGCATCGTGTAGTACAGTGTTTCTGAAACATCATGGTGCTTGCAAACCACCCGAGGGCTTGTTGACCTCTAATGGCGGGGCCTGCCCTGCGCAGCCTCTGATTCAGTTGGTCAGCACTGGGGTCCCAGGGCAGGTGTGCACTCAACAGGCACTGCTCTGGAAACCCCACTTTGCGAACCAGCTGGGTCTGAATCGGGTTTTTGTCTCCACAGCCACATTAGCTGGTTACGTGAGGTGTCATCCGTCAACTCAGCCTGCCTTCCCTCAGGAAGAGTCTTATATCTGCCTTTTCTACCTTCAGGTTTCTTAGAAGGCTGAAAATAGGATGTCAGATGTTGAAAGCAATTTGAAACAGTATTAAATGTCCAAGATTATAGCATTTAAAACAGTCCTTAATCAAAGGAAAATAATCTTAAAGTCAAGAACTAAAACTATTGATTAAATCTCCCTTTGTTTTTTAATTAACATATACCAATTTTCCAAAATGTAAATTGTTATTAATTTTTAATTAACATATATGGAGCTGGAAAATCCTCCCATGGCCCTTACTGACATTTTCTGTCCCAGTTATTTACTTGATGCTGTTCATTAACTTGTTTAATCTAAAAAAAAAGTTAATCTTTTTTTTTTTTTTCAGAGCTGAGGACCAAACCCAGGTCCTTGCACTTGCTAGGCAAGTGCTCTACCACTGAGCTAAATCCCCAACCCAATTAATCGTTTTTCAATGTTACAATGTCAACTTTGAGATTCATTTATTTTACCAATAGATGTTTGTTGTTGTTGTAAGAACTGAACATAGAATTGAACAGGGTAAGGTATTCTTTTTCACATCTTTATTTAGGCTTTGTTTTTGGCGTTTGTGACAGGCTCATTGTGTAGCCCAGGCTAGCCTCCAACTCCGATCTTCTCGCCTGCACAACTCTACCACAGTTAATCAACAAGAACACTACACAACTTGGATGGTTGTGAAAACAGCTGGGATTTGAGTTTACTTAAGAGAGTGATTCATTTCAGCAAACCCAATTCTGAAGCTGCTCTAAGCCAGGCCTGGTACCTCATGCTGTGATCCCAGCACTTCGGAGGCTGAGGGAGGAGGCTTGCCATGAGTTTTCAAGGTCTCGAGGTCAGCCTGGTCTACAGTCAGCTTGAGCTATAGCTGAGCTCTTGTCTAAAAAACAAAACAGCCGGGGCGGTGGTGGCGCACACCTTTAATCCCAGCACTCGGGAGGCAGAGCCAGGTGGATCTCTGTGAGTTCGAGGCCAGCCTGGACTACCAAGTGAGTTCCAGGAAAGGCGCAAAGCTACACAGAGAAACCCTGTCTCGAAAAACCAAAAAAAAAAAAAAAAAAAAAAAAAACAAACCAAAAAAAACAAAAACCATGGTAACTGAACCACGAGTCTATTGAGTGGATGAAATTTATTAATACCTACAAAGGCTTTATTACTATCATTGGTACATAATAAACCTTCATTGAACGTTACATTTCTACAACATTCAAAAAACTGAAAAAATGTGCTTCTGGGTTGTTTTTATAATCACAATAAAACAAAATAATTGAAACAACCTTATAAATAAATACAGAATAGTGCTAAAAATATGTTAAAGTTGCCCATACAATATTATATGCATTTATGTAGATTTTCAAAGTACGTGTTTTAAAGATTTGTGTAGAGAACTCCCTGGGAAATTTATCTTCATACCAGTGCTGCAAGCTGAAGATACTTATTTACAAATTAATCATTTGGAAAAGCATAAGACAATAAAAGATGATCTTTTAAGAGGCTTTTTCTATGAATATAGCAACACACTTTGAAATTCCGTTTCCTTACTTTGGGCAGCAGAGCAGTTCACTGAAATTGCAGTAACAGATCATCTCACATCCCTTCCCGTCCCAGAAATGATGCTGGACGCTTGTGTCGATCGGCGTCAGATCCGACCTGCCCTCTGGAAGGTTGTGACAGTTGCGATCTTTTAGCATCTTTCTGTAGCAAGAAAGGCGACTTGAAGGCATGGCATGGGTTCCTAACAGCAAAGCGAGCCCCAGGGTGACAAGCACCACAGATTTCATCATGGCTTTTGTTCCTGAGATGGAATAACAAACAAAAATAGGTCAGCATTTGTTGTTTAAAAGGTGGGATTCGCCTGAACATAAAGTTTTGCATGCTGTCATAAATCTGGATATGAGGAGAGTTCTTCTTTTCCACGCTGTTTGTGTTTCTCACAGTGTAACTTTCGGACCACTTACATTTTTTTTTATTTGAAACACTTGTCTGAAAATTCAAATGTCTGGACACCACTTAAAAAAATAGTGAAGGGCCGGGCGGAGGTGGTACACGCCTTTAAACCCAGCACTTGGGAGGCGGAGCCAGGATCTCTGTGAGTCCGAGGCCAGCCTGGTCTACAGAGTTGAGTTCCAGGACAGGCTCCAAAGCTACACAGAGAAACCCTGTCTGGGTGGTGGTGGTGGTGGTGGTGGTGGGGGTGTGGTGTGTGTGGTAAAAAAAAGTGAAGCTCAAGGAAGTGGGTCAAGACACCAGCCACACAAGCCTGAGGACCTGAGGTCCATCCCCGGGACCCATGTAAGAAGCCGCCAAGGGTGTTAGCATGCGTCTGTAATTCCAGCACTCCTTTGATGAGATGGAAGGAAGAGACAGGCAAATGGCTCAAAAGCCATGGGCCAGCTAGCCTGGAGCACACAGCCCAGCCGCAAAACCAGCGGAGACCTGTGGCAATGAGGTAGACAGTGAGAGAAAAACTCCGCCAAGAAAACCTCTGGCCCTCTGACTTCCACATGGGCGTCACGGCGTGCGTGTGCCTGTGCTCACTCATATGTGCGCCAGTGAGTGTGTACCCATGCACACACACAAGAAAAAGTATTGAATGAGAACTACTAAGGGGGAGAATCTGCATTTAATAAGGTACCCAAAGTCACACTTTTTTTTTTTAATGTGTAGTCACTCAGGAACAGCTTCTTTTAAGATAATATAAACTCATAGACATTTGTAAAATGACTAGGATTCCCACTAAAGTTGATGTTTCCTATGTTATAGAACCGTAACATTATCAAAGAGCTTAGGTGCCACCCAACAGAGATAAAAAACTTCTTTATGCCAATATTCACAGATAATATATTTTTTTCATTTATTATGTACACAGAAGAGGGCGCCAGATCTGATTACGGATGGTTGTGAACCACCATGTGGTTGCTGGGAATTGAACTCAGGTCCTCTGGAAGAGCAGTCAGTGATCTTAACCTCTGAGCTATCTCCCTAGCCCCACAGATAATATTCTATAAATATATCCGGATTTATTCTTTGGACTCATTCTTGTTACAACCTTTTATTGTTTTTTTTTCTCTTTTTAATTTTTACCCACATAGACAATTTATCTGCAATTGAAAATGGAGGCTTGAATTCTTTCTTAATCATCTAGTATGGCCATGACCACCTACGACGGGAAACTGCTAAGTGAATGTACTCTGTTGATGTAGTTCTATTATTTTACTTACTGTAAAATCATTTTCCTTAGCTTCTACCCACCGGTCTTGGTTTGAACCTTCGTGGCCATACCAAACAAGTCTAGTTCCTCAGGAGATAATTTAATAGTGGTTCTGCAAGACTGGGATATTCGTCATGTCTGTAACCAGTCTCCTCTAGGTTCTGTGTTGGACCTGAAGGGAGCGGAGCTTATTGTAGTAAAGGAGGGATAATAGCATAGTATAGAATTCAGAATTAGCATCCATAGCCATGCGCATGGCACACTGCACTTTGCTAACATGCCAGTATATCTTCCTAATAAAGAAGGAAGGCCGATAACGGCACATCTCTTTGCACATGGCACTTTAAGGATATTTGTTTTCTTAAGATAGGGTTTCTCTGTGTAACCCTGGCTGTCCTGGAACTCACTTTATAGATCAGGCTGGCCTCGAACTCAGAGATCTGCCTGTCTCTCCTGAATGCAGGAATTAAAGGCATGTGCCACCCTACCCCCGACCTGCACCCCTCAATGCCTGAGGCAAGTGGGAGAATTGGCCTTGAGGTCATGAGGAGAGCGGGGCCCTGCCCCTCATCAGCTGCAACAGTGGGAAAATGGCCCCTACACCACGATGCTGCAAGAGTCAACTCGACAGGACAATGCAGGAGAGCTCACCCTGGTGGTGAGGACAAGGGAGAGCTGCTGGGCTGACCAATCCTGCAACTGCCCAGACCCAGAACCAGGGTGATACGTTGGCCCACCCCAACATCCACCCCCATCTGTGTTATGCTGGAGCACATGAAGGGACCGGTCCTGCAGACCCCAAAGCTGCAGGATTTCCACAACACAGGACAGCAGCAGGATAACCAAGAGGAGTTCCAGAGAGGACCCAGCATGGATAGTGTAGCAGAAACCAGAGGCCTGGAACCAGATCAGTGACTCTCTGCAAGGAACACTTGCAAATAAAGATATATATGGATGAAAGGGTTTACTGCGTGACTCACTGTGTCACACCACAGCTTCCATGGTGATATTGAGCTTTTCCTTCTCTCTTTCTTTTTTCTCCTAAATTCATTTTATTTTATTTTTGTGTGTGTGTGTGGTGGGGGGGTACAGTTTGCAAGGGTGGATACCAAGGGATAGGGAAATGAATGGGATGGAGATTCATGATGTGAAAGACACAAAGAATAAATAAAAGGAAGGAGGAAAAAAAGAAACATTTTAGACTATGATGCTCTCCTGTCCATGAGTCTCTTCTACAAAATAAAAATATCATAACCTAGCGAGACAAAAGACCAAATGGGAAAGAATGTATGGATCGGAGAGTGATCTCAGTGGGTGGGCTCCTGGGAACACAACCCCAGGTGGTTTGAGCAGGAGGGGTTTAGTCACTTGTGAATTTTAATGGCTGAAGATACCTACTGTTTCTTTTTTTACTACAAAGTCAAATAAAAATCCAGAAATAAAAAAGAATATTTGTTTTTCATTAACATACGGAACAATTGGTTTCAATGTGGTGTTCTCATACACACTTGCTTCGTTGCCCTTCTCTTCCCATCCCCCCACCCGGTGTACACTTCCATTCCCCACTCCTGTACTCTCCCTCCCGAGTCCCCTTTCTGCCTTGTCTTATATATTCTATTACCGTCTTCTTCCCTCGCCCCTTCCTTATGATCTCTTTTTCCTCTCTTCTGTTCTCCTTCTGGTCTCATTATCTATAGCCATTTACACACCACACACACACACACACACACACACACACACACACACACACACACACACGAGACAAGAGTGGACATGTGCGTGTTTGTCCAAGTCTTGCACTTTGAAAGAAAACAGTATTGCTGAAAGGAGATTAAAAGTGAGAGATCTCCAATGACTAGATACAGCTTATGAGTAACTCGTCTTAGGTAAGATAGGAAATTTTGAATAAAGACTGATTTTTTTTTGTTAAGTTTAGAGAATAAAAATCATATTCCTAAAAGTTTCAGATTTTATTTCATATTCTAATTTGAGTTAGTTACCTTTGACCTGGCTTGTAATTTTTAAAATTGGGCATTCCTAATTCTTAAATATTATTAAAAGAAATGACAAAAATGAGATCTATTTATACAGTCTCTGATTTAATAGAGAGAGACATTAGTTCTACAGTGTATCACAATCTAGCATATATGTGTATATATTATAACCTTCAAATGGACTTTTCACAGATCGTAGATTAAAATTCATATTTATTTTTACTTTTGTTTTGTTTTGAAATAGAGTCTCACGTAACCCATGCTGACCACAAGTGTGTACTTGCAAGTGTTCATTGCAGAGGGGTCACTGATCTGGTTCCAGGCCTCTGGTTTCTGCTACACTATCCATGCTGGGCCCTCACTGGGACTCCTCCTGGTTATCCTGTTGTTGCTCTGTGCTGTGGAGATCCTGCAGCCTTGGGTCCCTTCATGTGCTCCAGCAGATCACAGGTGAGGTGGATATTGGGGTGGGGCAGCACATCACCCTGGCTCTGGGCCTGCGTAGTTGCAGGCTTGGGCTTGAACTCCTGATCTTCCTGTCTCCACCACGAAACTGCTGGCATTGCACGTGTGTGTACCATCACACCTACGGTATTCATATGGTTAAAATGTTAATGCTATGAGGTGCTCTCATTCTCAACTGCTGCAATACCTTCTCTAATACCCAGGAGATGTAGTTTTTCAAAAACAAAACCTTGTAATCCCCGACACTTTTTGCTTTTCAAGACTGGAGCCATCACACTGAGAACCTTTACTATGGGGCAGGAAAAAAAATCACAGCCATCAATCTTTAAGGAAGTATTTGTGTAGAACTAACAGGTTCCACTCATTGGGGAAAGATTTTTTTTTTTTTACAGCTTTTTTGAAGTGAAGTTGACATACGATAAACTGCAAATACTTCAAAAAAAAACATAGTTTGTTAAATTTGGGTATGTGTTTTTTCCCATGAAGCCGCCACTACAGTCAAGACATTAATCATATAATTGCCCCTGTTTCCCCACATCCTTTTTGTTGTCCATCCCTCCTTGTGACCCATCCCATCCAGCAACCACTGCTGTGCTTTCTGAAGCCACAGATAATATTCATAGTCTAGAATTTTATATAAAATAGTAAATATGAAACCATACAACCTTTTATGTGGGTTATCTCAGTACAGTAGTTTTGAGGTTTAGATGTTTTATTGCTAAGTATTTCATTGTGTGTGCTACACATTGTCTATCCATTTGCCTGCTAATGAACATTTGTGTCATTTTCAATTTGGGGTAGTCATAATGAAAGTACTGAGAACACTTCTGTATGAGTCTTTGTAAGATCAGGGCATTTACTACTCTTGGGCAAATATGGACATGTGGACTAGCTAGCTGGCTTGGATGGTGGAGGCCGTAGTTCAACCTTGGTGTCACTCCTCAGGAACCATCCAGCTTGGTTCTTCTTTTTGTTAATTTATTTTACTTTATGTGTATGTTTTGCCTGTATGCCTGTATGTGTATGTACCATGTGCATACCTGTTGGATGCCCTGGAACCGTATTTATGAATTTTCATGAGCCACCATATGGGTGCTGAGGACTGAGCAAGATTCTTTGGAAAAA